TACCAAATGTTTATTTATACTCTGCATATGAGAGAGACCACTTGGTGTTTATCCTTCTCCCTTTTGACTCACTTTGCTTAACATGATTCCCTCCAGTTACAACCCATTTTCAGCGAACTATAGGTTTTCACCTCATTTTACAATTGAGCAATATCCAATAGTGTATATGTACTATAATTTCTTTATCCATTCACCTCTTGTTGGGCACGTAGGCTTCTCTGAATAGTGCTGCAATAAACATAGGAGTGCCTATATCTTTTTTGGTGTTTTTGCTTTTTGGGTCACACCTGGTGATGCACAGGGGTTACTCCTGGCTCATGCACTCAGGAATTACTCCTGGCAGTGCTCTGGGGATCATATGGGATGCTGAGAATCCAACCCGGGTCTGCCATGTGCAAGGCAAATGCCCTACCCACTGTGCTATCGCTCCATCTTTGATAACCTCCTTTTTATGGTAATTACTCTCCCCTCCTTTCTTTTTTTTGCTTTTTGGGTCACACCTGGAGATGCACAGGGGTTACTCCTGGCTCTGCACCCAGGAATCACCCTTGGCGGTGCTCAGGGGACCATATAGGATGCTGGGAATTGAATCTGGGTTGGCTGTGTGCAAGGCAAACGCCCTACCCGCTGTGCTATTGCTCCAGCGCCCCCCCCCCCCCCTTTTTTTCTTGGCAACCACCTTTGGTGCTCAGGCCTTACTACTGGTTCTGCACTAAGGATTATTCCTTATGCGGCTCAGGCACCCATATATGGTACCCAAGATTGAACCCCCATTTGGGGGGGTGCAGGGCAAATGTCCTATTCGCTTACCATTGCTCCAGCACCCTACTTTATCTTTTAAAAACTTTGCTTTGGGGGCTGGAATGATAGCACAGCAGGCAGGGCGTTTGCCTTGCACGCAGCCAACATGACCGACACAGGTTCGATTCCCAGCACCCCATATGGTCCCCTGAGCACCGCCAGGAGCAGTTCCTGAGTGCATGAGCCAGGAGTAACCCCTGAGCATCGCCAGGTGTGACCCAAAAAGAAAAAAAAAAAAAAAACAACTTTGCTTTGACTTCCAAATTTATGTCTATAATACACTGGAAACTTTTTTTTATGTAATGTGAATTTTTCCCTTTTAAAAAATTGATAGTTACTGTGATTTATAATATCAAAATAGTTTACATAATGTGAATTTAATATTTTTCCTTTTTGTCTCAGCATTGATTACTGAATATTGTTCTTTATGTATAGCTATGCATAACTAGCATATCGTGAATAAGATTTCCTGGTATGGATATAGCTTTTTGGAAACTTTATTCTAATCTATAGCTGCATTTGTCCTTAATCCAAAACTGCACTGTCTTAATTACTACAGGTCTGTAATAGAAATTAGATAGCATAGGTCTTTTCTTTTATCTCCTTTCTTTTTGGTTTGGTTTTGGGCCACAGCTGGCAGTGCTCTCAGGGATTACTCCTGGTTCTGTGCTCAGAAATCACTCCTGGTGGGTGCTGGGGACCATATAGGATGCCAGGAAGTGAACCTGGGTCGGCCATGTGCAAGCAAAACCTACATGCTGTACTATCCATCTCTCCTCTATTTTTTCTAAATTTGGGAGTTTCCTCTCTTCCCTCCTCTTCACTGCTGTTATATGATGATTGGGGATCACTCACATGTCAGTTTGTGATACTTGCAATTTTTTTTTTAAGTGATGGTACTTCCTGAGTGTTGTACATCAGACTGTGGTACTCAAATACTCAACAAATGGTTTCATTCCTTTTCATAGTGGTGCTTGCACATGTGCTCAGCAGAGGTCACTTTAATTATAGTTACACACATTTTGATTGTGGTGTGTATGTGTGGGATAGAGGCTTTTAGGGCAGTCTCTAATCGCCCTTGTAGGTGTTCCCGTGGTTCAAACCATATTTGAAACCTAGATTTTTTTCAAGATTACCAATATGGTAATCTTGGTAAATGGGTATTAAGTGTCTTATGATGTGTCAAGCCACTGTTTTGCGGTGGGTGGATCTTCTGTGTATAATTCCTGGGTCGCCAGAGGTTGGTGGAAGCAGACAGGGCAGGGTAGGGTGGGGCTTCTGGTTTTAATCCCTTGTTCTCCTGAGATTGGTGGGACCAGGCAGAGAATCTCTGTAACTGGGTCCCATTGAGCCTGGAGTTCAAGGTCACAGAGTTCTGCTTACCTGGTTCTGTGGGGCTTGGTTCGTGCGTGCGTCTTGGCCCGAGTGTCCGGAAAGCATCCTGGAGGTGTGGCGGCGGCTGGGTAGTGGAGGTAGTGGAGGAATTCAAGATGCCGCTCTGTCTAACATTCATTGATTCTGTTGAGACTGAAGTGGTCATCGAAGCCCTAGCCAAACAAGATGTTCAAACTCAATACATCAGGATCCTCCATGAGCTATATTACGGATTCACTACCAGGATTTCACTATCCTACAAGGAAGTGATCATCCACGTCAAGAGAGGGGTTCGGCAGAGTGATACCATTTCACCTGGAATGGGAAGGAATGGGAGTGAAGATAGATGGTCAGCAACTACACCACCTTCGCTTTGCTGATGACATTGTTCTAACACCAAACATTAGCCAAGCGGCACAAATGCTGGCCGACTTTGACCATGAGTGTGGAAAGGTCGGACTATAACTGAATCTCACGAAGACAATGTTTATGAGAAATGGTCTCATTCCTGATGTTCAATTAGCTCTCAACTAAACGATCATCTCCGAATGCAACAGTTATGTATACCTAGGTCGAGAAGTCAACATGATGAATGACCTGCCACCTGAGTTGCGCAGGAGAAAGAGAGTGGCTTGGAACGCCTTGAAGAGCGTCAAAGAAATAGCTAACAGGACTAAGAACCTCCGACTCTGGGCACATCTCTTCGATTCCATTGTTCTTCCTGCATTAACATACGCTTCAGAGACCTGGGCCCTATGAAAACAGGATGAGAACGCTATTCAGGTCTCCCAAAGAGGAATCAAAAGAGCTATGCTTGGAGTATCACACTTCACTCAAATGAGAGAAAGAATCCGGAGTTTCTACCTCAGTCGACGATCAAGAATCAGGGATGCTATCTCGTTTGCCAAGGCATCAAAAATTAGATGAGCTGGACATGTAATGAGATTTGGAGATGACTGCTGGACTAGAGCCATTACTGACTGGATTCCATGGAACATCAAAAGATCACGTGGCCGCCCACCTACGACATGGTCAGACTTCTTCATCAAGACCCTGAAAAATCTGTTTGAGGCTCTTCATGTTCCTGGAATGAGCAGATACCATTGGGCTACATCAGCACGCAATAGGGATGAATGGAGACATTACTGGCACCCGCTCGAGCAAATCGATGAGTAACAGGATGTCAAATGTTCAAGTGATCAAGTGTATATGTGGGAGGTCTCTGATGCTTGCCAGGGCTGCCTAACTTTCTAGCTGTGGTGCTCACACATCATTAGGTGGTGTTCGTGTGGTGTTACTTTTAGTTTGTTTATGGCTGGAAACTGCTTGCAGTGCCACAGATCATAGAGAGAAGAGCTGCCAGGCTCAAACAGCAGAGTTGCCAGGATCACTTGATCAAGTGCATGGGGTGGCAGTAGGGATGAACCTGTGACCTTAAGCTTGCAAGACAAGCTTTCTAAGTCTCTGAGCTATTGATAGTCAGTTCCTCTTCTATTTTCTTTATTGGCTTCTGCATGAATGCTTCTTGTTGTTTTCCATAAAATTTCAAACTTACGGGGTCAAACACACACACACACAAACTTATTGAGATTTTATCTGGAATTGCACTCAATCTGCGGACAAATTAAGCTGACATGTTTCAGCATTGAATCTTCCAACCTATGAACATGTGTGATTCATTTGCTTAGGCCTTCTCTCTCTCTTTAATTTTTTTTGGGAGGGAGGGATACATGATGGTGTTCAGGGCTTATTCTGGTCCTATGCTCAGGGATCTCTCTTAATGGGCTCAGGGGACCATATATGGTAATAGGGATCAAACCCAGGTTGGCAAGTGCCCTGTGTGCTATGCTATTGCTCCAGTCCCCTTCAATGTCTTAAAAATGTTTTATTGATGTACATTTTTCACTTTTTCTATTTATTCCTAGATAGTGTATACTTTTTTGGGAAGTTATTGTAATTTAGAAAAATTATTTCTAAAACAGTAACATATCTACTAATTTTTGCTAAAGCTTTATTAATTGGTAAAGGTAAAAGGTAAAGGCCCTCCCGTTGATCGTCGATTTGCTCGAGCGGGCCCAGTAACGTCTCCATTGGAGACCTTGTTGTTACTGTGTCTGGCATATCGAATACTCTCAGTAGCTTGCCGGGCTCTCCGAGAGGGGCGGAGGAATCGAACTCGGGTTGGTCATGTTGGCTGCGTGCAAGGCAAACGCCCTACCCGCTGTGCTATCGCTCCAGTATATTGAATAATTTTTATTTATTATTTTTACTTTTTAATTGAATCACCTTGAGATAGAAAAAAAAAGCTTTCATGATTGAATTTCAGTCGTACAATGATCAAACACCCATCATTGGTGGCAGTGAGCATTTTCCACCACCAGTGTACCCAGTATTCCATCTGCCACCCCCACCCCATCCCACCCCCTGCCTCTGTGGCAGGCACCTTCCTTCTTACTCTCTCTACTTTGGGGCATCATGGTTTGCAATACAGATACTGAGAGGCCATCATGTTTGGTCCTTAGTCTACTTTCAGCACACGGCTCCCATCCCTACTCCATCCCAACTGGCTTCTCCACACAGCAGAGAAGGCCGGCTTCCAAACCTCACAGCACAGGCAGAGACTTTCGTCTACCCTCTGGGAAATTCCGCGTTCTTCCCTTCAGGGAGGTGGGGGAGCCGGTGACGTTTCTGCTTGCCAAGCAACGGCGTTGTTCCAGCTTCGGGTAGTGCACGCGAGGCTGGAAGCACGTGCCTCCGCTTCCGCGGCTCCGGACTACAAGTCCCAGGATTCCGCGCGCCGCGGGCAGGGCTCGGCGGGAGGCGGAGCGGAAGCGGAGTGTGCGGGAGCCGGGGAGTAGCAGCCCCACGAGCTGGGCGCTCGTCTCGCCTGCGGCCGCTGCCCGGCGTCGGCCTTCCTGCTTTCCGGCGCTGCAGGGGTCCGGCGAGTGCGGGACTGGGGAACCCGAGGTGGCGGCGATGAAGACCAGCCCGACCGGCTAGGTAATGGGGATGGGGTGCGGGAGGGAAGCGTCTGTGCGGGTCGGGCCCGCCACTCTCCCCCCTCCTGCGCCCGCGGCGCCCCTGCCCTGCCCCGCGGGGGCGTCCGGCCGGGACCCCGCTAGGGGACCGACGTGCAGTCCCGTCGTTCCGGGGCCGGGAGCCGCGGCCCCATCAGCCCGGGTCGCGAGGCGCCAAGCACGGCCGGGCTGCGTGAGCCCCGTCCCGGACCCGCTGGCGCGGGGGGCGGCGGCCGAGCTGGGCTGCGGGATGGAGCGGCCGCGGCAGCCGGGCTCACTTCTTCCTCCCCCCAACTCTCCCTCAGCCTCTTATTTTATTCTGTTTCATTTTATTTTTTGACAGCTCAGCCTGTTCTACTTTGACGGAGAGACAGAGAAAGTCCGAAGTCCCCTTTTTGAACTCCCGAAACTCAGCTCCCGGGGTGACTTGGGCAGGATGCACTTAAAAAGCTGCATCGATTGTGGCTTTTATAAGACACCGAGAGGGGCTCAGGCAGCCCCGGCTCCAGCCCTGCTTGTGTCCACCCTGCTTGGCTTTTGTGACTTGGCTTAGTTCAAGGGCTCTTAAGCCTGAATTGTCACGGCTGTCAAACGGAGAAGCCGGTGTATACCGCTTAAGTTGAGAGAGGAGAGAAAGAAAAGGAAGAATAGGCTTAGAATACCATTGATTCTTAAACTGATGAGAAAAAAGAAAAAAAAGCCTTTGGATGATGTTCTGCGGAAGTGGTTTCTGGATGTGTGAGTTTCTTTAATGATTAGCCTCCGGTTTGCCTGTGGTTCACGTCTTAACCTTGCTCCCGTTAAACCTAAGCGGAGAATTCTTTAAAATATCTTCTTTTTCAGTTTCTGCTGTTTTAAGATGGCTGAGAATGTTCTTAGGAAATTGATGACTCTGCTTTTCTGTGGATCCGCTTTGCAGAAAGCAAGGATTTATTCACTCCACATCACCCTGCCAGTTCTCTCCTGTGGGGCAACCTTAAGAGGAGTTAACTATGCCAATATTTTTCTACCCCTTTCTCCACTTTCTCTTGATCAGTGATTTTCCCTTTTTGGAACTTGTGCTTCTGAGTTGTAGTTGTTCTCAGGGAAGTTGAATAAATGCGGTAAATTTTAAGTGTGATTTGAGACATTTCACTTTACTCTCTAGTTTCTGTTTGTGTGTACAGTTTTCTCCTGAATTTTGCTGATATTGGTGTATTTTTCCAAGGAAACTTTATGATCTTGAGTTTAAATTTATTATAAATTGGTTTTTGGTCTACACCTGGTGGTGCTCAGGGTTACTCTTGGCTGTGCATTAAGGGATTATTTCTGGCGGTGCTCAGGGGACCATGTGTGGTGTTGGTGATTGAACCAAGATCCATGGCATGTAAGGCAAGCACCCTCCCCACTGTATTATCACTCTGGCCCCTTCATTTTTTTCTCAGATTCATTTATTTTCTTTCTTTTTTAAAATTTACTTTTATTTTTTAATGAATCACAGTGAAATACAGTTATAAAGATGTGATGTTTGAGTTTCAGTCATACAATGATCGAACACCTATCCCTCCACCAGTGCACATTTTCCAGTACCCATGTCCCCAGTATTCCTCCCCATCCCACCCCTCCCCCTCCCTTGTTGGGTAACATTGCTTTGTCCTTCAAGAAGCTTAGGTTTTATCTGGTTACACCCATTAATCTGGTTACACCCATCAATCTGGTTACACCCACCACAGTGCTCCAGAGGCACTTCCACTTCCATTGTGTTTACATGTAAACATGTAAACAGTCTTCCCTATGCTCTCCTTCCCACCCAGTTAATCAGCTTTCCCCTTAATCAGACTTTGTTAATTTGTAAGATCAGTTTCCCAGAAATCTATGATTTTATATGTATGAGTGAAATATTGCCTTTTTCCTCTCCTTATGCCTTATGAACAGTTTACTTTAAAGTAATATCCTTTTTGTATAGATACAGGAAGACCGTTAACATTATGCTTTGTAACTTAGGATTTGATTGGCCTTGAATATTATTCACTCCCGGGCATCTGCTTTCTCGACTTAGCCTCAGTTGCCCTTAGTTCCTAACACCCCAAAAGCAGGGTCCCGACGAGGGACTGAATGGACCCAGGGCAAGCAGTGAGCTACCCTGGCAGCGAAATGGGCCAGGCCAAAGTGCCACGATTCTTAACTATAAATTAAGAGTTTGATCATAGACAAATGCTGTCATGATCCAAAGGTAACGACAAGACTAGGATCCTGCTAGGGGTGGGAAAGACTATCTGGCCTGAGCACCGTAGTCTGAGATCGAGATGGCCCTAGGAGAGCAATTCTATAAGTTTAAGGTATTTCTTACTGTATCCATACAAAATGATTTATATTATATTCTTATACGCTTGTCGGACAAGGAGAGGAGAGGCACGCCCATGGGATTATGCTCTAGGGTGGGTCCTCCTGCTGAGGAAGGATCTGTCCTAGGAGCGGTCTTCCCTGAGGCTAAGATTTCTACCCCTGTTGATCTCTACCCCTATTGATTGTGACCGCACCTATGTAATTGTTTTCCCCAATTCCTCTTGGAGAGAGATATAAGGAGACTGTAGATTGGGCAGGAGGGGCAGAGACAGAAGGAGAGATGAGGAGAGAATCAGAATAAACTACGACTAATACCTACCAGCCTGGCCCTCGTTCCTTCCTCTGCCTAACCATCGCCATCGACCTCTCCGGGGTGGGAGAAGGGTGAGACTACCGAACGCGGGTGGCGGGAGAGATAGAGCCACCGCCGCTGTGGGTGCCGTGCCCCCTCTTGTGTGAGCTTACACACTCCCTCTCTGGCAGACAGTTTCCCCATACTCTCTCTCTACTTTTGGGCATCATTTTATTTTTCATTTAAAACGTCTGATACTCTTTTTTGAATAATTTCTGTTCTATGTAAAATAACATCCTAAATTATGCTATTTTTGAACATTCATAATGGGGAAATTTAATGGGACCTGGTGAATTTTCTGTGTTATGTCTTTAGTGACAGATGCATTAAAAAGGAATGCTTTGGGAAGAAAAGGAGAAATCAAATGATTGTATTTCATAAGGATAACACAGTCTGGGAGTAAAGAAGTAAAAAATTTAGTCTGTGAGGCATGACATATGCAAAGATTTTTTATTACCTGAAAACATAACGGGGGCCTGAGCAATAGTACAGTAGGGAGGTTGCTTGCCTTGCATGCATGTGACACCCAAGTTTGATCTCTGACACCACATATGATCCCCCAAGCCCATCAGAAATCATTTCTGAGTGCAGAACCAGGAGTAAGCCCTGAGCACTGCCAGGTGTGGCTTCAAACTCAAGAAACCAAAAAAAAAAAAATACTAGTCCCCGAGGTATAGCTCAGTGGGCTGAATACTTAAAAGAATGACCCCCCCCCCCGCCCCCTTTACCGAGCATTGCTGAATTTAGTCCTGAAAATCTCCATCCCCCCATACACCATAGCATTGTCCTCCCATTGTTCATCGATATGCTCTAGAGGGCACCAGTAATGTCTCCATTGTGAGACTTCTTATTACTGTTTTTGGCATATCAAATATGTCATGGGGAGCTTGCCAGGCTTTGCTGTGCGGGCGGGATACTCTTGGTAGCTTGCTGGGCTCTCCGAGAGGGGCGGAGGAATCGAACCCGGGTTGGCCACATGCAAGGCAAATGCATTACCCACTGTGCTATCGCCTCATACACCATGTACAACAAAAATACAAATTTCAAAAAAATGTTTCTGTTATTTAGTGCCATAAAGGAAAGGGAGTAATGGCTGCAGGAAAAGGAGCTTTGGTTCTTGTCTTAACTCTGTTACTATCTGTAACTTGGGTTCCTTAGTGGACCTCAGTTTCTCTAAAAAAGCTAATTTGAGGACTCTTTAGTTCAGTCTGCCAATAATAAGGGAGAGAGTTTAGATGTTCTTTCAGTGTGGGAGGGATGTAAGTCCTTTCTTTGTGTCTTAGAGTTTTTTCCTTCTTGACCTTGAGAAGGAGGCGACACAAGAAAATTCTAGAAACAGCCATAAACAGAAGTCTTCAGGGACTTATTCATTCCTGTCTTTCCTGAGCTGCACATTATTTTCTTAAAATCTTCCTATTCTCAGGGCCTCTTCCTCTGACAACAGCTCTTGACCTCATCGTTTTTAGTTAGGGACTCGCTTTACCTGCTTTTTCTGTCTGCTTCTTTGTAACTTCCTCTAATCCAACATTTCTCTATCTCTTTCCCACAAAGCTGGAAGGAGGGTTGGCCTCTCTGTGCTTGTGTTTCCTTCCTGTGGCCCCTTGTTCTTCCGGTTGATCCTGTAAATTTGTGCCAGGGGCCTTTTACCCCCATTTGCATGATTTTCGTCTGTGTCCCCCTTGGAACCACTGTGGTTCCCAGTTGAGGGTTGAGTCACTCTGTCCTAATCTTCCTTTTTCCTTTTTTGTGAATTTTTTACTTCTGATGCCAACAGCTTCGTTTTCTTTGAACACTTTTTTTTTTTTGTGTGTATGAGTTTTCAGGCAAAGGTGCCCGATGTTAATCTTGGTAACTGTGGAAGGGAAAGTAGGGTGTACAGTCATGTGGCAGAAAATAACATTAACTGAGGCTATGTGACTGAAATATCTAGTATTGCACACATAATATATTTCATATTAAACTTTTACTGTGACACAAGGATTGCATTTATACTTTATTCCCTCCCTCCCTCCTTTCTTTCTTTCTTTCTTTCTTTCTTTCTTTCTTTCTTTCTTTCTTTCTTTTTCTTTCTTTCTCCTTCCTTCCTCCCTCCCTCCCTCCCTCCCTCCCTCCCTCCCTCCCTCCTTCCTTCCTTCCTTCCTTCCTTCCTTCCTTCCTTCCTTCCTTCCTTCCTTCCTTCCTGTCACTTTGTGATTCATGTATGCAACACAAGTGCTCTACCCCGAGCTACTTCCCTAGCCCCTAAAGTTTTCTATTCTTGTTCTTGCCTTACTTTATCCAATTTCTCTTAGCTATTTTTGTGCTCT